TTTAACTGCCATAATTGTAAATTATGTCAATTTGTTTAATTTATTGTGTTCATTTATGTTGTTTATTTCCTTTATTTATTGTTGTGCCTTTGGGGTAGGAACTAAGTTTCATTCTGCGTTGCCTACAGGCTCGTTTTAAGTGACGTAAAGGGAGGAAGTAAAAAGGCATGTGCAAAGAAACGTTATAAGTTAACTAAGTCACAAGAAGGAATAAGCTGCTTTAAAGTAAAGGAAAGCTGTAAATAAGAAGAAATTGGGAATTATTTGTTAAGTTTTGTTTCTGAAGCGGACTCATTCTCTCACGGTTACGTGCAGCCAGCGAGGTATGTTAACTGTGTTTGTTTATTGCGTATTCTTAACTTGCGTTTAAATGTTTATTTGTAATATTTATGTTTGGTCATTCTGTACTTTATGTAATGACAGTTTGACGGTGGATTTCATGGTGTTTCGGAGGAGAAGTGTGACGGAGGAATAAATCCATCAGTGAATGAAGAATCGTGGTTTCGTGTATAATCCGGAGGGAGTGATATGCTCAGAAAACCGAGGTTTTGTTGTTTGGAGGCAGGTCTGCATATAGCAATAGTATAATCTCTGCACTTCACTCCAAAGGGCTGAACTTTTCCCTCAACAGCTCAGCCCGTAACCTAGGTGACATCTTCGATACAAGCCTCTCATTCAAATCACATGTAAATGCAGTATCGAAGGCGTGCTTCTTACAGCTATGCCAAATTGCCAAGCTGCGACGACTTCTTACTATTCAAGACACTGAGAAATTGATACATGCCTTTGTATACAGTAGGTTAGACTACTGCAATGCTCTATTATCTGGGAGCACACACTGCACATAAATACCTTGCAGCGTATATAAAATGTAGCAGTTCAAATCGTCACCAGGAGCAGGAAGTTTTAACACATAACCCCTGTTCTTAGTTCCCTGCATAGGCTTCCTGTTAGGTTTAGAGCTGACTTCAACTGGTCTAGCTCCTGCCTAGCTGACAGAATTACTTCAAGTTTACAAGCCGCGTCGTCCACTCAGGTCACAGAATGCAGCCTTCAGTGCTACCCGACACAGGCCAACGTGGAGAAAAGACCTTGGCCACCCCTCAGAGGCCAACATGGATAACAGACTCATTGATGGACTTTGTCTTCATTCTTAATCCCCTATACCTTCCTTTTAGCAAGCATGTCCACTCTTTTATGTTTTCGGTAATGTTGGTACGCCCAGGGGGGTTGGGCAACCAGTTGACCTTGGACCCCCCAGAGGTTGTTTTTTTTCTCCCTACTTGGGAGTTTTTGGTTCCTCTCCTCCGTTGTCTTCTGGCTTTCTTCAATTTCTTTCCTTCCTTTTTTCCCCATTCTGTATCACCCTCTACTTCTGTTTCATGTATCACAACACAACCCTGTAAAGCGCTTTGGGACAACTCTGTTGTGAAAGGCGCTATATAAAAATAAATTGAATTGAATTGAATATACATTTGTGTTCAAAATAACAGCAGTCCGACAGCACCAGCCTGATCAATCACTGCTTTGGTAGAAATTATATTTCTACATGGCAAATAATTTAATAGTAGGTGTAGTAGAGTAATAGAAAACCATCAGACCCAATGGTCATGACATGTATGCTGCTGATTCTGTGTAACTGAATCATTAATGGAAAGGGGCTTGTGCAAATTATAGCAGTGTGGAGTTCAATAAGTGAGGTCATTCATTCTGTGAAAAAACAGGTGTCAATTGCGGCCCTTATTTAAGGAAGGAAGACCGCAAAAATATTGTACATGCTGGTTATAATCCATTTCTCTCTGAAAATCTGAGTAAAATAGGTCATTCCACACATTGATCAGAAGAACAGCATACTTTGATTAAGGGAGAACATACAAAGAAGTGAAGAAAATGATAGGATGCTCAGCGAAAATGATCGCAACTGCTTTATAATGGCAACCAAAACCTGAAAGACACGGAAGAAAATGGAAAACTATCATTCCAATGGATCGAAGAATAGCCAAATTGGCAGACTCAGCCAATGATCAGCTCCAGGAAGATCAAAGAAGGTCTAAAGTTACCTGTGAGTAAAATTACAATTAGAAGACACCTATGTGAAGCCAAACTATCGACAAAAAGCCCCTGCAATGTCCCATTGTTGAAAAAAAAAGATGTGCTGAAGAGGTTTCAATTTGCCAAAGAACACATTGACTGGCCTAAAGAGAAATGGTGCAACATTTTGTGGACTGATGAAAGCAAGATTGTTCTTTTTGGGTCTAGGAGCCGCAGAGAGCTTGTCAGATGACTCCCAAACACTGAATTCAAGCCACAGTACAATCATCCTGGGCTAGAATACCTGTTCACAGGTGTCAGAAGTTGGTCAACTCCATACAATACAGATCTGCAGCAGTCCTCAGAAACACTGAATTTACAGCTAAATATTAGTTCAGTGATTCAAATGAAAGCAAAATCGTTGTATATTGATTGTTTGAGTTTGTAAAGAAGGCAGACACTGCTGTTTTTTTGAACAGTCTAAAATTCCATTTTCTTCACTTTTTGTAAAGGTATAACACAAATTTGATATTTTTTCTTCACTTTTTGATTTGGAATAGAATGTGCAGTGTTCCCAAAGCATTTGCATATATGGAAATAAATGCTATTAAAAGGATTTTTAACTTTATTCACTTTTTTTAAACTTTTATTCTGAACACCGTATTCAGCATTTCCTGGGCCCAGGATTTATTTTGCATGCTAACAGTTAAGCAATTCCAAATTCTGAAAAACCACATTAGTATCAAACTCAGAATTGGATATGGCTGAATGCGATCTCCCTCCAAAACTGTGAAGAACCTCAGATGCAGCAGATAGTGTTCAACGTCAGGATTTTACCAGTGCCTGATTGGAGACGGACGTGAGCAGAGGGACAATCTTTATCATCTTAGGATCATTGTGCTTCCTGTGAACAAGACATTAAAGGTGAAAATTAAAAGGTCTACAGCACAGGCACCTCTGCAATGTAACAACCTGTAACATGGACACATGCACTAATCTGAAATATTCCCTGCAGTTCACGGGGACTATTTTATAAAAACAAATTTCTCAGATTAATTAACGATTACCAGCAACAGAAATGTCAAACTGTGATGCAATTTGAGAATGAAATTATACTTCTTGAAACAAGTGAACAAACCCTCCTTTGAAGATTAATTTTTCATTTGCCTAAGAGAAGTACTTCATTTAAAAAAGGCCTTATCAAGTGAATGGCTGTTGGATAAATAGGGGAACTTTGTGACTCTGAATTAACATGCTTTTCTAAGACTAATGAAAGCATGTTGGGAATACATAATGAAGCCCCATTCTTCACTTTAGAGGCGTCTGTAAAATGCCTTTGAAAGCCTTTTACAGCGAAAGTTTCAGCCCTTTCATTTATTATCTTGCTCTTAGAGTAAATGTGACTCTTTTTGTCTTTACAAGGCAGAGCGAGACTGTTGCATTTCCTCAAGTCGATACATCGTCGATATCAGACCACAATCCTCAACATCTCTCGTGACCCCATTAGCAGAGGAATTGGATTTCCTAACCATAGGGATTGTTTAATGTTTATGCCAACTGTAAAATAAAGATTGTACCTTTTTTTATCTCACTGCAACCGGTTAGTCACTCTCAATTCCCAAGAAAATAGTAGCTCTTTAACAAAGGGCCTGTTATGGCACGGCCTGGTGCAGGTGGGAAAAGAGGATGACAATCCACATGTGGCTTCAAGAGACAGCAGGGGTTTATTGGGGGAACTGAAACACACCAGGAACGAATAACAAAACATAACAGGACCGTGAGCGGTCAAAAGAAAAACACTGATTAAACTAAATAAACCATGACTCAACACAACTAGGGAGCAGGACTTTTTCCTAATTTAAAAAGGACATTGTTGCCTTGGAAAGGGTGCAATATAGGGCTACAAGAATGATTCTTGGTCTTAGAGGAATGTCTTCTGAGGAGAGGTTAGCTGAATTGAATCTGTTCAGCCTCAAGCAAAGGAGACTAAGGGGAGACATGATGCAGGTATAAAAGATTCTAATAGGTCTTTATGCTGTTCAGCGAAATGGCTACTTCAATATTAGTTTAAATACTAGAACTCATGGCCATAGGTGGAAATTAGCGGGAGAACATTTTTTAAATGGAATTGAGAAAGCACTTCTTTACACAGCATGTAGTTAGAGTATGGGATAGTGTCCCTGTTAGTGGGGGGACACTAAATCAAATACTGGGCTCCTCTAAATCAAACCTAGTTAAAATTTTAACAGCTCTGAGCTATTAGTTAAGTTCACCCCAAACAAACTTGATGGGCCAAATGGCCTCCTCTCATTTGTAAATTTCTTATGTAACCTAAGCAAAGCAACATTAGCACAGACATATAATACATACAGTGAACAGGTAAGAGCAGGGCCAAAACTAGGAGAAACTAACAGCACGATACACAAGAATTTAGCACAATGACTGACTAGAGAATACAGCAGACGCAGGCACTTAAATACAATTAGGTATCTGACTAACAAGAGGGCAGGCGTGGAACATGACAATCAACCAAGACACAGAGCAACAAGCAACAGGTGTGGTGAATTACAATAACGAGCACAGAACTAGGGATTTCTAACAAACACTGAAACTAGGAAACACTAACCACACTAGTAATTACTACACTAGGATAAGTAACATAGAACCAAAATACAAACAGGAATGGAAGAGAATAGGAGTAAAGCAGAGCAAACCTATGACTGGGAAACAAATCAAAGTAACAAACACTGGGGAGACAAAAATCCAATAAATACAAACAATTGAGGAGTCTGGCCTTGAAATCATGACCAGGGTTTATAGCCACACACTCAGCCCATAAAGTTATGCAGCCATCTGGGGAGCTGGGGAAACACACTGGAGACAGGGTGGAGAACAGGATGGCCAGAAACATCTGCTGGCCAAACGGGAAGACGGCATGAAGGGCAGGGTGTGG